AAATTTGGATATATACTCAAAAGAATGGAGAATTAAAGTCTGGAGCCTTTATTTAATAATAATAAAAATAGTATTAGGAGCCTTTATTATTATAATATTAATATTAATATTGAATTACATTATTATTGTTATTTATGATGATTGACATTATTTTTTTTTTTGAGCCATTGTTTACTATTAAATATACCATGTGATTCCCCCTACCCTTAAATGATTTTCTTTTAAAACAACTAAATAAAATCTTTCGTTGTAAGGGTTTATGACCATCTATAACTGAAGGAATTGAATGGAGATTGCTATAAATGAAAAAGAAAGACAATTCCTTGTTTATAATGTCCTTTATTTCTATTTCATCATCTCTACAATAATCGACATCAGTATCTTGTTCAATATTTTTTATCCATTTTTTACATTCATCAGTATTTGATTTAGCAAATACAATTTCAAGGACTCTCTGATCCTCATTGTCCATTTGTTTAAATTTTTTAAGATATTTTCTATAATTTTTGAAATATTCTTTGGTTTCATTTGGAGTATGACTGGCCAAGTCCTTGTAATATTTATAATCCCATCCTATCTCATCATTATTATTTTTCCACTCATAATATTGGCACTCACTAAAAAATGATAAAGTTGTATCATTTTTTTTGCATTTAATAATAGGTGTAATGAATAATTGTAAAAATCCGGATTGTTTTAATAACAAGGGAAAAGATACTTGGAAAAAATTGATAATTAGGAATTTTATATGAGCACCATCTAGGTCTTGACTAAGGTTTCTGGCCAAAACTGCTTCTATTAGTAGCCGAAATTGCCCAAACTAGTTTGGGCTTTGAGAAAACAGTTTGGACCAGAAACCTTAGTCTTGACCAGTCATCATTATTACATGTTGGTAATGTAAATATTTTGTTGAAACATATTTTTTGTTGTCTTCCAAACCAAGTATTGTTTTTATGTCTTGTATCACCCGATTCTCTGATTCTTTTCTAATAATTTGCCAAGGATAGGATAAATACCATAATTTTCCATTTGATCATCTATTACTTCTAAACCAGACAAAACAAACATTTTTGCAGATTTACCTTCCACAATTATTAAATTACAATTCGAATCACCTTTTCCTGCGTTTACAGCATCTTCCAACCCAATTATACTTCAACTTGTTGTAATCTAAGATTGTTTATATATTTAAATATAAAGAAATCAGTTATTAATCAAGTACTAGAGTAACAACAAGTGGTGGGCAATAACCACCACCCTCCTTAAAACACTTACCCAGTGTATACTTTTTCTGCTTCAGTTTTTTTGCTTCTTTGAATTTTTCCATGTTTTGGTAGCATGTTTTTTTTTGAGAAAAAAGTTTGTGATTTGATCGATGTGTACACATTAATTATTTATCCTATTGGTTTTTTTTTTTGGTAGGACAGATGTGAATTGATCAACTGATTTTTTTTTTTTTTTGGAAAAACAAAAAACAATTTATTTTTTGACAGTGTCCAAGGTGACAAAACGTGAGTGTAGTTGTTTGGTTTGGTTTGGGTCTCCTAAAGAGTATGTGTTAATAACTAACCAGGGGTACTTTTTTTTTATTTGTATTGATATGTATGAGGTGTCTTTTATTTTAGTTTATAAATATTTTAATTGGAATCAA